ACTCAGCTCACATAGTTTAAAGCAAATCAGGATCAAAAAGGCTTATTAATTTATTAACGACACAAAATTCGCAGCAGTGCAGGATCAATACAACCAATTAAAAAGAAAAAAGCAAGTAAACCATAGTAGTAGACAAGAACTGTTCATAAGCATTTGGAAATTCCTAAACACCCCCTTAGAACCAATCCCAAACAGTTCTGGCACACAGACCCCCCCACGCTCTCCCTCTCCCCCTCCGTCAAGGCAGATGCCTCTCCCACCCAACCCAGCAGCACCGCAGGGCGGGCAGCACCGCCACCTCTCGGGATCTGTCCCCCCAGGGGCTCTGCCTTCTCACTGATCTTCACAGTTTGCTTTATCCAGCTTTTCAGTCCGGCCCTCGCTTTGCTCCCAGAGCCTCACAAACAGGCACTCTCACATTCCCGTCTTAACAGGCCTTGCTTTCTGGGCCATTTGCCAAAAGCAGGCCAGGCGGGCACCCTCTCACTTATAAATTGTTCTCTTAAATACATGCACACACTGTTGCAAAAGGAGACCGGAATCGTGTCTTTGGGATTACCTCTATTTTTGCATTTTCCCTTTTTCAGATTCCCCATTATATTATAGCAGAGTTTCACAGTGGAGCTAAATATATAATATAGAGAGTGAAGTATACAATGATTTTATCAGAATAGTATCAAGAACTTCTATCAGTAATTGAAACTGAGTTACACTAGTCAAAGCAAAGGAATACAGAGTATTTCCCGAGGCAGTACAGTTGCCTTTTTACTGTGTATGCAGCAGGGGGGAAATTCAGCCCTCTGCAGACAAGACAGCAAAAAGCCTATCAGATTCTTCAAACCCACTCCAAGCTCCATTATAAAGAATTAAGTGGTACTTGAATGATACATAGGCTTTGTGTAGACCTTCTGCAAAGAACTGAATTTCATCTTAAGAATGTGAGCTGACACTACTTTGCATCTCCTAAGAAGGGCTGTGTCCCTTCACTTTAACTGAAGCTAATAGGAACTGACAGTGCTCAGCACATGGTAGAATTGCTTTCCTGGGTAAAGTCATTTGAACTGGAGGACAAATTGAGTCTATCCAATGGTTTTTTGGGCAAACAGTTCTGAGGTGTTACAGGCAGAGGTTACATCAACACGATGCCAAACTACCCACCAAAGTGTTCTTAACTGTTTTGTAAGACAGCAATTTGCAAAGAATTTCCAGTTACTAGTAAAAATAAATATATAAAAGTCTCTGTTAATGATCATTATATTCCAATTTAAGACTGTTCAAGTGAGTAGTGTTTCAGAACAGCACAGATTATTTTCTGCTAAATATTTCAACTAGGTACATTTTGTCAGTAAGCCTCTCACCTGATTTAACATTATATGTTATATTTTCCTATAGAAACTCAAGCTTTCTTTCCTGTGCTTTCTTTTCACACGTTCACTATACATTCAGGCAGTTATCAATTGCTGCATCTCTATTTAATCTCACCACTGAAAAAGATGAACTTTTTATGGTAGCAAAAAAGTGAGAGAAATGTTATTCAGCAGTAGTGAATGAAAAAAAAACAACTTATAGCCATCTAAAATAAATTAGACTTAAACACTTGAATTGTTAAAGGTTATAATCTCATGGTCTTTTTAAAATGTTGGAGAATGAGATTGGAAATAAAGGTGTATTTTTTCCCATCAAATAAGAATATAGATTAAAACAGGAATTGGATACTGAGACTTACGAGTTCAGAATACATCATGCTTCTATGCATAAAAGATGTTGTGTGAACTGAATATTTACAAATCGTAATGAAAATCGTGGTATAAGAACCTACATTAACAAATAAATAAATAAATAAATAAGATGTATTATTTGATGTTGCCTGAAGCAACAAACAGAAGATTCATTGTAGTGGGGAGTACGGAAAATTACTCCTAAGCCCAAACAAAATGTAACATTTTGAACTGAATCATGCTTCTTAAATGTGAGCTTGGCTAACATACTTATTATAGAATTATGTTCTCCTTCACTTTTTTACTGAATGCAAGATATGAAGTATACTTTAGAGAAATATTTTCTTTTTTATTTTCACATATGATTTCACTGTTGTTTTAATTGAACTTTGAAGAAAGCTGATCAGCATAACTGGTTCCCAAAGTTCAGAAATTCCTTTAGATTAATCAGTTTAGATATACCTAGACAAACACTTTTATCCCAGTGTTGTTCTTTTGCCCTATTAACTCTGAACAGGACCCAAATCTTTTTATTATTAATAACCTCAAACTGATCCCAGCTGTTTCCATCATCTTACTCCTCTCCCAAGACTTCTGTTCTC